GTCTGCTTACTAAACCACTACTTTGTTAAACAGTATTCTTCTTCGTCCTTTCCTGTATTTTTTCTTTATCCCCATTTGTCTGAATAACTGTGTTGTTGATATTTGCATGGCCGTTGCAAATCTTACAACATTCCTTTCAACATCAATTGAAAGGAATTTTGTAAGATTTGCAACAGCCATGCAAATATCAACAAACATGCATGTCCAAGAAATTTTCACCATTTGATCTCATCTGCTCTTGTGATATGACCTGTCGAAACCTCTGCATAAACTATTAATGAAGCTTTATAACATACTGTAATTTACAGTCTTTTAAGATTGTTTAATTAAAATTTTATTCTCTAGTTCACAATGAGCAACATCACATTTACAAATGGAACTTCCACTGGGTGAGTGTCTATACTTGCCTTATTTATCCTTTCCCTTACGAAAAAATCCAATTGGAATTCCAGTAGGCAGGGCCGGCGCTAAAGGTGGGGGGAGGGGTATAACACCCCCAGTCGGGTAGTCGGCCAAATATTGAATCCCAGTTGGCGAAACATGGATTTGGATAGGAAGAATTCCAGTTTGAATTCCATAGGAATTTAAATTTTCCTGTTGGAATCGATCGAATTTTGGACAGAAAAATTAATTCCAATTGTAAATTAGTGTTTATTGTAAATTGTATTTAATATTGTAAATAATATTGTTTTTATGCATGAGTACTAATACAGTGAAATGTTTAACGAAATGCATGAAGAGCTAAATTTTAATTCTGCTTATTTTAAGTGTTGAGTGTGATGTGGACAAAACCTTTTTACCTCACCTCCTTTTGATACCTGCTGTAAGTTTTAATGTGTTATTTTGTTTCTTTGATACTATTTACACTTTAACCTGGACGAGTAAAATCATCTGGTGTTAATGGACACGCATGCAGAATAAAATAATGAAGTAGGGTGCAATATGTGACTTACTATGTACCCTATATTTAATTATTTTACTCCAATTGACACGAAATGACTTAGTATTCTATTCACAACCCTCACAATCATGCTCAGTCTAAGGATTGGGAATAATGGTGATCCAGCGCCTAAGCCATGCAGGCTTGAAAAGCATGGCTTAGGGGTAGCAGGGCCGGTTTTACGAGCCACGAAAATCATGGGTGGGTGGGTGGGGTTGGGTTGGGTGGGGTGGGGTTGGGTTGGGTTGGGTGGTCCGTTCACCCTGCTCACTTATCCGCTGGAAAGAAACTGAGCTAGATTTGAGGATTTCTCCAATATTTATACTTCCCGTGTCGTAACACACACGTGTGCTTGCTCAACCAAGCGTATACGGTAAAATATATCTTAATTTTCACTTCGCATATAATTGTAAGGGTTGTGAATAGTAAATTTATACTCAATCTGTCTAAATTGCCAGACAATTAATAACTCCTCAAAGGGAGAGTTCTGGCAGTAACAGTGGCTTTTCTCCATCTAAAGAAAAACAGTTTTACTACAATCTTTGTATATCATTGATAACTAAAATGGACAATCTGGTTCAGGGAATAATTATCACCATATTGGCATTTTTACAACAAAGAAGAAGTTTTAAGAAAGAAGTTTGGGGAGGTCGACCTGGACTTGTTGTGTGAGTATAAATATAAACGATGGCTATAAACAGTACGTACTACGTGTTGTTTTATTCCCTGGCATGGAATAAAACATGTCTTTTTATTCCATGGCAGCATTAAAGTGGGGGCCCATTGTACTGCAATGTGCCCCCACTTTACAATTTTACTGTGTCGGAAATTGAAGGAAAGTCTTGTGCTTTGCACAAATCTGGACAAATAAAATCATCTGGCACAAGACTGTGTGAGTAAATGTTTAGTGTGGATGAGGGATTGTGGCTACTGTAGGTTAAAAATAGATGGGTAGAGGTAGGTGTGTAGCCACAGTGGGACTGTTCTCTCCCCCTCCACCACTCTCCCCAGTAGTAATATAGGGGCCGTTCGGGCCTTATTTTTGCGGTGGTGGTGGAGTGTGGTGGTGGTGGTGGCGTGTGGTGGTGGCGTGTGGTGTTGGTGGTGGAATGTGGTGGTGGCATGTGGTGGTGGCGGTGGAGGAGTGAGGAGGAGGAGTGAGGAGAAATGAGGAGGAGGAGTGAGGAGGAGTAATGACGTCACTCATTAACATGCGTCATAATTATATGCAATGACGTCACGCGGGCGAGCTTAAACACGATCGGGCGAAACTTGCCGACTAAGCATTTTTTAGCGTCTCTCCGCGTGTATGATACAATAGTTAGGGCTATACACAAGAGAATATGTTGTTGTCTGGAGTTTTATAAGTACAGCTCTAGCATTTTGCTGTTATTGTCAAGTGATTTATATATTCGGGGTATATATTTTGTTGTTAAGTAATATATAAATATTATCAAGCGTCAAAATGCTGAGAAATAGCATGCGGTAAGAGTTATTATGTATCTACAATTAAACTAATATTTAAATCCCGGTCTGCCATATGAGGTCTATATACGAGAGAATATGTTGCTGTTTAGAGTTATATAAATACATGGAAATTAGAGGTTATGATATATAATTGTCAAGCGATTTCTATATTTTAGTGGTAGTTTTTTAAAGTACTAAAACTCGGATCGGATAAGGTTAATAAATTTAAGCTATATTAAAGCACACCGGTTGCTATGTGTTGTTAGGGTGAAACTAATTAAAGGATTAACTTTTATCAGAGATTTGCATTTTTCTACTGTGTGGATAAATACGGGTAGATTAGGATATTCATTGCGCGGGCGTCGCGGGTTATCCGTGCGGGAAGAGAGAAAGCGATTTAGACAAGACAGGAGCGCTTTGCAGCCAAAAGTTGAAAGACTTTGTGTGGAATCCTGTAATAGTTGTCAAGTCGGTCATCCTAGTCAAAAGACACCATGACTGCCGCATGATGAACGAAAACGAACGAGGGCAAGTAAGGAATCTATTCGTCACAAAAATCATATTTTAAACATATTTTAGACATATTTTAAACTAAACAGTTCCTAATCCCGAGTTGTCAACGTCGTTGTTAAGGTCAATATTTACATGTTGTTCAACGTTATTTTAGCAAATATTCTACATACATATATACTGTTAAGATGACCGAGTCAGATCATAAGTAAGCTTATCAAGAATATAAGTTAGAATTGGAACAGTTGTAATATATTTTGCGATAAAAACATGTAATCGTTATATACGTTGTTATGTGTTGCTAAGTCATTAGCGACGCTTGCGTGCATGCATATATTAACGTACAACATATTTGTACACTAATCAGGCGGGCGGAAAGAGCGGGCTTTGCCGGCAAAAATTACACAATATTTCAGTTTTTAAATACATTTATTTCTTCAAAACGTTTTACAAAATTATGCTTCTAATATATATCGTCACTTGTTTCAGGGGTTTCGCTATCAGATTCTTCATCATAGCTGCTTTCATCATCGTGGCTGCTTTCATCTTCCGTAATCCATTTGGTATGTCTTGGGACTGTTATATGAGAAGACAGTTTTAACCTCTTTGTAGTTGATAAATTACTTCGTTGGCCTTGCCTTCTCTTGCTTCCGCGCCCGGCTTGTTGTAGTAGGGCTTTTGCTCCTTGTTCGGCAAAGTCTTTAACAACGTCACCTCCGTGAGTCTTTACAGATTCTTTTACATTTTTCCTTGGAGTACATCTTGACCAACTTCTGTGGCTGCTTGCAATGCTCTTTTGCCAACAACTTTAGCGCCTTGTTTGAACAGAGGGATAGCATATCTCGCAAGGCTCTTGAAAATACTTCCGATCCCGTATCCTCTTTGAAAACGTGCACCACGATACCCAGCGATGTTTCCGCCACGCTGCTGTCTCAAGAAATGGTCTCTCAGTAGTTTTTCGTCTACAACAAGTGTACCTCTCGGCATGTTGATGTGTTCAGTTCAACTTCACGCAGTCAACTAATCAAATATCACTTTGGTCGCCTATTTTATGGTTAAAGGACTGCCTTTCATCCGTTCTGATATCTATAATTTCACCTCGGCGACAATGTGGACAGCTGGCGATTACATGTGTAAAATCTCCTTTGGACACTTGAAAATCACAGATCATACAGCGACAGTTTTTACAATTCGGATAAAAATCTGTCCATGTGCATACGGGGCACGTACTCAAATGGGAGATGTATATATCTTTGTTACAACTGTTACAAGTTGCGTCAGCATCAGCTTGTGTATCCTGACGGGACCACTTGTGGGCTAACACAGAAAGGATATGTCCATTTAAGATTAGGCTTTTATCAATTTCCAATACTGCAAGACCTTTTATAAAAATACTCAATCCAGTTGGTTCGGGAATATCTGGATGATAAGGCGTCACGCAATATTTCAGAAGGTCTACAATGTCAGTGCCTCGTATATTATGTCCTCTGTAAACGATTTCTCCTTTTCCATTCCAAGTCAAAATCCCCGTAGAGGTTAAAATAGAATGAAGGATTTCTTCGGCTTCGTGTTCATCATCAACGTCAAGATATTTGAGAATGTCTTCAAGTCTCCACTGTTCAGGAGATGATCGTTTGTCGTTATTCATGATTGGAATGAGGAGATGTCCTTCATACTTTTTATTTTATATTAATTCTGCAAGGCCTTCTAAAAGTGGTCCAAGTACCAATCCCAGAAAGCCGCTTTCCCGCTGAACAAGAATTTCCTTTTTCGTCTTAAAATTTCTATCTCTGTCTGCTAAATCAGCTAGATCTTGTTCGAAAGGTCTGAGTTTGTCCTTTGTTTCTTTAGAGTATGTGAAATTTTCTATACAATGACACAAGCATCGAATTTGCTCAGCTGATGTAGAATTAAGAAGAGCTTGCTGTTGAGTTGGATGAGAAGTACATAAGAGTTCTACAAATGGTCTGTGTTTCATATAACTGCTAGTCATCTCTGTTCGGCGGTCAGCAACGGAATGAAGATTTAGTTGGAAATAACACATATATAAGGGTCGGCTCGCCCTCTATAGATTAGGTCTAGACAATAGTCTTAATAGTCTTTACTATAGTCTTTCATAGTCTTTACTATAGTCTTTCATAGTCTTTACTATAGTCTTTCACAGTCAGGACTATAGTCTTTCATAGTCTTTACTATAGTCTTTCATAGTCTTTACTATAGTCTTTCATAGTCAGGACTATAGTCTTTCATAGTCAGGACTATAGTCTTTCATAGTCTTTACTATAGTCTTCGTAGTCATGACTATAGTCTTTCATAGTCAGGACTATAGTCTTTCATAGTCAGGACTATAGTCTTTCATAGTTAGACTATAGTCTTTCATAGTCAGGACTATAGTCTTTCATAGTTAGGACTATAGTCTTTCATAGTTAGGACTATAGTCTTTCATAGTTAGGACTATAGTCTTTCATAGTTAGGACTATAGTCTTTCATAGTTAGGACTATAGTCTTTCATAGTTAGGACTATAGTCTTTCATAGTCAGGACTATAGTCTTTCATAGTCAGGACTATAGTCTTTCATAGTTAGGACTATAGTCTTTCATAGTCAGGACTATGGTCTTTCATAGTCAGGACTATAGTTTTTCATAGTTAGGACTATAGTCTTTCATAGTTAGGACTATAGTCTTTCATAGTTAGGACTATAGTCTTTCATAGTCAGGACTATAGTCTTTCATAGTCACGACTATGCTCTTTCATAGTCAGGACTATAGTCTTTAATAGTCTTTACTATAGTCTTTCATAGTCTTTACTATAGTCTTTCATAGTCAGGACTATAGTCTTTCATAGTCTTTACTATAGTCTTCGTAGTCATGACTATAGTCTTTCATAGTCAGGACTATAGTCTTTCATAGTCAGGACTATAGTCTTTCATAGTTTTTACTATAGTCTTCGTAGTCATTACTATAGTCTTTCATAGTCAGGACTATAGTCTTTCATAGTCAGGACTATAGTCTTTCATAGTCAGGACTATAGTCTTTCATAGTTAGACTATAGTCTTTTATAGTCAGGACTATAGTCTTTCATAGTCAGGACTATAGTCTTTCATAGTCAAGACTATAGTCTTTCATAGTTAGACTATAGTCTTTCATGGTCAGGACTATAGTCTTTCATAGTCTTTACAATAGTCTTTCATAGTCAGGACTATAGTCTTTCATAGTCAGGACTATAGTCTTTCATAGTCAGGACTATAGTCTTTCATAGTTAGGACTATAGTTTTTCATAGTTAGGACTATAGTCTTTCATAGTCAGGACTATAGTCTTTCATAGTTAGGACTATAGTCTTTCATAGTTAGGACTATAGTCTTTCATAGTCAGGACTATAGTCTTTCATAGTCAGGACTATAGACTTTCATAGTTAGGACTATAGTCTTTCATAGTCAGGACTATAGTCTTTCATAGTCAGGACTATAGTCTTTCATAGTCAGGACTATAGTCTTTCATAGTCACGAGGACTATAGTCTTTCATAGTCAGGACTATAGACTTTCATAGTCAGGACTATAGTCTTTCATAGTCTTTACTATAGTCTTTCATAGTCAGGACTATAGTCTTTCATAGTCAGGACTATAGTCTTTCATAGTCTTTACTATAGTCCTTCATAGTCAGGACTATAGTCTTTCATAGTCAGCACTATAGTCTTTAATAGTCAGGACTGTAGTCTTTCATAGTCTTTACTATAATTTTTCATAGTCAGGACTATAGTCTTTCATAGTCTTTACTATAGTCTTTCATAGTCAGGACTATAGTCGTTCATAGTCAGGACTATAGTCTTTGATACCCAGGACTATAGTCTTTCATAATCTTTACTATATTCTTTCATAGTCTTTACTATAGTCTTTCATAGTCAGGACTATAGTCTTTCATAGTCAGCACTATAGTCTTTCATAGTCAGGACTATAGTCTTTCATAGTCAGCACTATAGTCTTTCATAGTCAGGACTATAGTCTTTCATAGTCAGCACTATAGTCTTTCATAGTCAGGACTATAGTCTTTCATAGTCTTTACTATAGTCTTTCATAGTCAGGACTATAGTCCTTCATAGTCTTTACTATAGTCTTTCATAGTTAGGACTATAGTCTTTCATAGTCTTTACTATAGTCTTTCATAGTTAGGACTATAGTCTTTCATAGTCTTTCCTATAGTCTTTCATAGTCGGGACTATGGTCTTTCATAGTCTTTACTATAGTCTTCATAGTCTTTACTACAGTCTTCATATTCTTTAATATAGTCTTAATAGTCTTTACTATAGTATTCGTAGTCATGACCATAGTCTTTACTATAGTCTTCATGGTCGTGACAATGACCAACGGGATAAATACACCTCTTCACCCTTGCTTTAAATAATTTTACCCTGACTCTAGACTTTCCAAAGTCCTTTCCAGACC